CGGTCCTCACGCGCGCCGGTCTCTCCCTCCTCTGCGCTTGCGCGCAGGTGCCGGCGCCTAGGGGGAGGGGGACCCGGCGCGCTCGCGTCACGTTCTCTCGTCCACCCTCCCCGCGCGCCGCCACTCCGCGCCTGCGCAGCAGAGTCGGCAGGCTCGGGTTGCAGGCTCCCGGGCGAAGGCTCCTGTCAGCCCGTGGGTCGGTCCTCCCGCCGGCCCTCCCCTTCCCCGGTGGTGTCCGCCCCCAGGATCCCCCGATGGGGGAGAAGTGGCGACGGCGGCAGCGGAATAGCCGAGCAGGAGCGTGAGCGGCTCCGGGGCCCCATTCGCCGCGGAGGCCATGGGCGACCCAGCCCCCGCCCGCAGCCTGGACGACATCGACCTGTCCGCCCTGCGGGTGAGCGCGCCGTCCCCCAGCTTCGCCCGGGTTCCTGTCCCCGCCGCAGGGGAGCTGGTTGGCTGCCCGCCTCGCGTGCGCCCCGGAGGCCCTCTCCCGCAGCCCGCCCGGCCCCCCTCGGCGACCCCCGCTCCTTTCCCGGGCGCCCCCCGGGCTGGGCCCCCGCCCTCTGCTCTCCTCTCTCCACTCGCTGCAGATTCTGGGGAGCCAGTTCGGTCCCCACCCTGTGGGGCCCCGCCCCCACACTTCCCTGCCACCTCTACCTTCGCTAAGGTTCCGGGCTCGCTTCCTTCAGGGTGTCCGATGGTCATCCTCGAGTTCCTCTAAACTTAAGCTCCATCACCTGCAGAATCCTTATTATGGTGCCCCTCCCTGGCTCCCTCGCCCGCCCCCCCGCCCCCCTCTTGAACCTCTTTCAATCCTTGCCTTTACTTAGGGCACGGATTTCCTCCCCCTCCTTTTTCTGGGTTTCTCGAATGTTGACTTTGCAACTGTCTTGACCAGCCTGCCTCTCATCACTCTTTATCCTACTCGGCCGCCCCTGAATTGCATCTCTCTCTGGTCGGAATTTCAGCCTCCCCACCCCACCCCACCCCACCCCGCCTGCCGTCGTCCTCGTCCCCCCGTTCAGCTCTCCCCAGCCCTTCTCTGGTGTTTGGAGTGCAGCAGCCTAGAACCAGGCATTTCCGGTCTCAGGGTCCCTGCATATTACATTACCAACTCTGCAGCAGCGGGGCTGCGAGGCAAGACAAGTGCACTGGTGGAGGAGGGGACGCGCTCATTCTCTTCAGAAACTCCAGCACGGGTTGGGGAGAGGATGTGTGTGTATGTACACACACACACACACACACACACACACACACACACAACACATGCTGTATGTTATGTGGTCGGTCAGGAGGTTGGGAAAACCTGCTTAAGGTTTGGGGAGATCGCGAAGACCTCTCCAGGGAGGGGCTCATTTGAAAAGGGGTGGGAATTTCTTCGAAATACCTATTTATTGTTCCGCCCGGGGCGCTTGCATGCCCTCCTATGGGAGCTTTCAGGAGCACTTGTGTGCTTTTCGTTCTTCAATAAGGAGCTCTGGCTTCAGGGCCAATTGAGTGGTTTCAAGGTGAACACTCCAGACTGTCACCCAGGTGGTGTTTTTGTCCTGTGTCCTTCGAGCCTTTTCATCAGGCCAAGATGTGGGGAGAGTAGGATTTCCCGTCTCTGGGTTAGCTTCTCTGGAGGCCGTTGACATTGTCTTCTGGCTTTGGAGTTAGCCAGGGAACACGGCCAGTATCAGAAAAAAAAGAAAGAAAAAAAAGGCGGTCAGCCACACAGGTGCCCCGGATATGACTGGAGGGGAGAGGGGAATTGAAGAGAACAGAGTCAGGTTGTTAATTGGGTTTCTCTAGGTGACACAGATTTTCTTGCCATTCAGGTCATAATTTGGTTGGTGCAATGTTGGGCTAGGAGACCTGACTTGCTGGAGATAAGGTGATAAGTTGCTGAGGAGGGAGAGACTGAGCATCGGATTTCTGTGTGTGTCTGGGTGGGGAGAGTGTCTGAAGGCTTTAGCAGGGAGATTCTTAAGGTCAGTTTAAACTTTGATTCTCAAGTGAAGCCAGTTAGGGTATAAGGTGGTAATTCAGGCTCCCCTTGATTTGCTCCTCTCTGGGATGAGCCCCCACTTTCCCTTCTTCCTTTCCCACTTTAGTTGTTCATTAACTCTGGCTACAGGTTCTGTGGCTGTGGTGACTAAAATACAATAAAAAAGGGGTGAGTTCAAACCATGACCTTTGGTTTAAACCTTATGGGACTCTGCTTAGGCTTCTGTTTTCCTGTAGCCTCCTCTGCTAGTTTGGCCTGGATCCTCAGCCTGAGATTTCCAGCAATTCTGCAAACACCCTTTGACCTTGGATGTGGTATTTCCTTTCTGGACTTTTCTGCTGGAAGCAATGTTTGCCTCCTTCCTCAGTTGCCTCCTGCCTTATTCTCCTCTCCTTCCAGAGAGGCCGCTGATCTGCTCCCAAGTGCTTCTGTCTTTCCTGCCTCAGGCTTCTTAATAAAGCATCCCCTCCCCCCAGGACCACCCGGGTACTCAGGGCTTGAGAGGGAGCTGTGCTTTCTTTGAAATGGGGCTAGAAAGGGCCTGCTTCCTCCTGATGCTGACCTTTTCTCAGTGCCTGTCCCCTCTACTCCACCCCAGAGAGCTGCTGTGGCACTGTGGAGCAACTAGCTCAGTCATCTCTTGCTCTGTTCCTGTTGTTTTCCAGTGAGAAATTGGTAACCTAGAGAATTAACAGCAAAGATGTTTCCCATTGCCCTAGCTGGTTTGACTCAATAGATAGAGCGTCGGCCTGTGGACTCAAGGGTCACAGGTTCGATTCTGGTCAAGGGCACATGCCTGGGTTGTGGGCTCGATCCCCAGTGTGGGGCATGCAGGAGGCAGCATATCAGTGATTCTCATCATTGGTGTTTCTATTTCTCTCGCCCTCTCCCTTCCTCTCTGAAATTAATAAAAATATTTTTTTAAAAAAGATGTTTCCCTTTATATCATCTTGCGTTGGGGGCCTGGGGAGGTGGATGCGAGAGGAACATATTCAGCATTTATTAGCTGGTCTTGAAGAGGCCAAATTGTCATTCTCTTGTTTCAAGATAAAGCTTGATTTTTAGCTGGTGATGAGAGTAATAGTCTGATATTAGGGAAGATTGAATTGCACTAATCTCTTATCATGTGTGGGGAAGCCAGATGTACCTGCCGCTTTGTAATCACAGGTACACTTGACCTCTTTGAGGCTCCATTTCACCCTCAGCACAGTAGTATGGGGCTGTATTCCTAAGTTCAAGTCCTGCTTTTTCACTGAAACCTTGGCCTTGTTCCTCCTCCTTCCCTTACTTGCTACAGATTGTGCAAAGAGCCTTACTTACCCTCTCTGAGGCTCTGTTTCCTCATTTGTGTAGGAGAGGATAGTATAGCACTGAACTCACTTGTTGAGGGCTAATGAAATACTGTATGCTAACTACTTAGTCCAATTCCTGGCACATAGTGACCATATACTAGCTTTTATTGTTGTTAATTGTTATCAAATGGCAATCAGAGAAGCCTTCTAGGGCAACTGTATCTAAAATAGCACTCCCTCCTCTGCTTAATATTTACATAAAATTTTATATAACATCCCCTTAGTCTGCTGTATTTTTACTTCATAGTATATATCACCAGCTGACCTATATATTTTCATCAACCCTGACTGAAATGTAAGTACAGTGAAAGCTAGGATTGTGACTGTTGTTCACTTTTGCATCCCCAGCGCCTATAACAGTGTTTTGCACATAAAGGGGGCTCAAACGGTTGTTGAATAAATGTATGTTATAATAAGTGAAAGCTCTTTTAGCACAATGCTTGCTTAGAGAAAGCATTCAACAAATGTCATGCTTGTTAGGCTTCCTCCTGCCACTCGTTTATATGCACACAATTAAGAATATATCTTTTCTGAGTTGTTTTGAAATCAGACCTTGTCTGGTGGTAAAGAGGGTCCTGGAAACTTCTATCTGAGCGACGCTCGTGAAGTAAAGTTAGGATCATTCAAGAGAAAATTTGGGCCTCTTGTTTCAAACCTTTTTTGTGTCCAAGTTTGGTTATATTCCAGAAGAGTCTTCTGACTTGGGACTCTGGGCTTCTCACGGAGGGCAAGTATCAGTGGAAGTGGATGGGACAAGAAGGGAGCAGACCCCAGGCTGGCCTCTTTCCTTTGCATTGCTCCTTTTGGTTGACCCACTTCAATAAATCAAACAGCTTCTCTTTACTGTCCAACCAGCTGGAAGTTTTAGGCTGCAGTGTTCTTGAAACTATGGAGCTAAGTACAGTGTTGATATATTGAAATAATATCACGGAGCGCAGTCAAGAGAGACTTGTTGCTAGGTAGTAGGGCTGACAGAGATGTTCTTTTCCAACGATTTTGTGTTGTTGTGTCTGTTCTTTGGAGGAGTCTCTTCCCCCTCCTTGTCTCTTCATGAGACTGTAGAGCCAGCACCACTTGGAAAGCTGGCAGCTCTGGGCATGCATTTCTAGGCTGCTGAGCAACGTGGGACTGCTACTGTGTTCTGATGTGCTGGCTGTCCAAATGTTGATGACAGATGCCTCCGGCAGGGGAATGGGAAGACTGACCTCCTCCTGCAGGAGAAATGGTATTAAATAGTGACTTTTTCCTTAGAGAACTGTAAATGGGGAGTGGGGCTGTTTGGGGAGCTCGTGGCATTTGGAGTGAAGTGAAATGCTGCTTGGCAAAATGAAGGAAGGAAGAGTGCAGAGAGTTTTGCTGGAACTAGAGGTTCAGCCATTCCCCCAAACGAGGGCAGAGGCACCACCACCCTTTATGCTGTGGGATAGGACAGATTGCCATAGTCCTTAGTGATACATGGAGGGGAAGGTCTTTGCAAAAGTGAGGTTTTGACAGTTAAGATAGTAGTAGAAGGGTTAGCCAGAGAGCCAGCGGATCCACTGCCTCAAGCTTGCCCCAGGAGCTCAGTCGACACTATGCTGTGTGGAATCCTGATTTCAGACGTAGCCTCGCCCTTTCCTTGCAGCTTTGAACTGTGTGCTTAACACAAGGTAACCAGTGCTCGCTTCGGCAGTGTATATACTAAAATTTGAATGATACAGAGAAGGTTAGCATGGCCCCTATGCAAGGATGACTCGCAAATTCATGAAGCGTTCCATATTTTTTAAAAAGAAAAAAAAGGCAGGATAACTCACACAGCTTGGATAGGTAGAGTGTCCTCAGTTGCCATCTTGGGGACAAGATGGCAGAAAGTGTGTAACCACTCTTTGCAAGCTTGCACCTTTCGCGTAGGCCTATAAATAAGGAAGGTGGTAACCTCTCAACCCAGAAATATAAAGCAGTTCTGGGGCTGAGGAGCATCTCCAGAAGCCATCTGAGAGTCTGTCTGACTAATCATTCTGTCTCCAAAGTTGTGCCAGAGAAAGTTAATAATATCCTTTCTTGCATCAGTCAGTCACCAATCATTGTCAGTCTGCTGTATTGAGAATCAGACTCTCGGTACTATGGGAAGGATGTAATATTGTACTCAGATCTCTACAAAGCTATTTAATCAGAGCTCTGGGAGCATCCACTTAAGAAATGCCTTTGTGCCCTGGCCAGGTAGCTCAGTTGGTTAGAGCGTCAACCCAGTATGCCAAGGTTTTGGGTTTGATCCAGGGTTGAGGAACATAAAAGAATCAACCAATGAATGCATGGGTAGGTGGAACAACAGATCGATGTTTTTTCCGCTCTCCTTCCCTTCCTCTCCCTCTCTAAAAAAAATCAATAAAAATTTAAAAAGAAATACCTTTGCAAGTTCAGCAGGCTCCCCTTTTCTGATCTGTTATTGCTTTCCTCAATGCCTAAGAACCTTGGAGGAATTTCTTGTTAAATTTGTTTTCCTTGAACTATACTCATTTTCTGTTATCCTCAGTCATCTTGAAATCCAGTCTTTTCCCTCCCCCAGCAAACACTTTATATCCTCCAGCTCCCTCAGTCTTTTCTTTCCTAGGTTTAAGAAATAGAACAAAAGTAATCAGGTTAATAAGTCAACTCTCAAAGCATTTCTTGAATGCCCACAGAATGCCCACAGAAAGACACAAAACATCACTTGGTAGAAGACTTGGACCCTGTCCACAGCCAACATTCATTGTCTTCTCTCTCCTGTTCTTCCTGCCATTCTTTTCCCAACCAACCAGTCCTTGACTTGCATCTGGGATTTTCCTATCTACAGGAAGCTCCTCCAGAGAGTAATTGGAAAGGTACTTGAGGTGCTTTATAAGGGTAGGGAATGGTAGAGGAAGGAGAGAAGAAAGGGATGGAATTGTGGTGACTCAAGGAGCCTCGGGAGATTTTGAGGATGTACTTGCTAACTGTGGGAAGGATTTCCTATCCTGTCTGAGGAAAGATCTAGAACTAGGCACAGAGGATACAATGACAAACAAAATAATCATTGGTTTTCCTGCAGTGTAGGTAGTAGGAGAGACATTAATAAAATAATCAATGAATGAGCCCTGCCTGGTGGTTGAGTGTTGTCCCATTCACTGAGATCTCTGATTTGATTCCTGGTCAAGATACATGCCCAGGTTGCAGGCTCGGTCCCCAGTAGGGTGCGTGCAGGAGACAGCTGATCCATGTTTCTCTCTCTGATCCATGTTTCTTTCTCTCTCCCTCTTCATTCCTCTCTCTTTAAAATCAATAAAAACATCTGTATATATAAAAGCCTAATATGCTAAGTGTCCAACCAATAGGTGGACTGTTTGGTCAACCGCTCAACCAGTCACTATGATGCACACTGACCACCAGGGGGCAGACGCTCTGACCGGTAGATTACCTTGCTGCTGGGGTCTGGCTGCTGGGGACTGGGCAAGACGGGCCTGACATGCCCTGGAGCCCTCCTGTGGTACCTCCCTGGCCAGCCAACCTCCTGCAATCCCTCTCCAGCCGGCCAGCCCCCATCTGCCCTGATTGGGACTGGGTGAGATGGCCCCGATTGGCCCTGATTGCCAGCCAGGCAGAGGGACCTCATCTGTGCACGAATCTGTGCACTGGGCCTCTAGTTAAAAAAATATTCATATATAATACATACACATACAATTGCAAACCATGGTAAGGACTGTAGGAGAAAACTTTAGTATGACATGAAAACATATAATGAGAATTGTCTTTACTTTTTTTTTTTAAGTATATTTTATTGATTTTTTTACAGAGAGGAGGGGAGAGTAATAGAGAGTTAGAAACATTGATGAGAGAGAAACATCAATCAGCTGCCTCCTGCACACCTACTACCGGGGATGTGCCCACAACCAAGGAACATGCCCTTGACCGGAATCGAACCTGGGACCTTTCAGTCTGCAGGCTGACGCTCTGTCCACTGAGCCAAACTGGTTAGGGCTGTCTTTACTTTTTACGTGACAGAAATATTTGGTTGGTTGATTGAGAGAGAAGTAAATAACATATAAGAAGACCAACCTGGTATTGCCATAGAAGGAGTAGATAGAAGTGAACCAGCAGGTGGAGTTTGGTGATGACGAGAAATGGGAGACCCTGGAATGGGGCCGTTCTTAGGGTGGGACATTTGGTCAAAAATCAAGGGCTTGGGGCCTGAGGATGGGATGGAATTTTCTTCTTCTCCTCCTCTTCCTCCTCCTCCTCCTCCCCCTCCCCCCTCCTCCTCCCCCCTCCCCTCCCCTCCCCCTCCCCTCCCCCCCCCCTCCCCCCCCCTCCCCCTCCCCCTTCCCCCCTCCCCCTCCCCCTCCCCCTCCCCCCCTCCTCCCCCTCCTCCTCCTCCTCCTCCTCCTCCATTTATTTCACAGAGGAAGTGAGAGGGAGAGAGAGACAAACATTGATGATGAGAGCGAATCATTGATTGGCCACCTCCTGCACACCCCCTACTGGGGACCGAGCCCACAACCTGGGCATGTGCCCTCGACCGGAATCCAATCTGGGACCCTTCAGTCCACAGGCCAACACTCTATCCAGTGAGCCAAACCAGCCAGGGCTGGGGTGGAATTTTCAAAAGGATTTCTTCTGAGCCTTACTTGTGTGTGGCGGCTGGGGGGGGGGGGGGGCATTATTTGTTTCAAAGGGTAAGGGCATATGACTCATATGACCCTCATTTTTATTTAGTTAGGGGAGAAACTCTGAGTATGGGTTTTGTGGACTCACATGTTGCTTTGCAGAGGGTGCATGAAGGAATGTGCTTGTTGCCTGGAGAGGGCCTGTGAGGGAGAAGGGCATATTAGTAGATGCTTTATTTTTTTAAAGTTAAAATTATATATATTTAGGGTATACAACATGATGTGTTTTTTTGTTTTGTTTTTGTTAATCCTCACCTGAGAATATTTTTACCATTGATTTTTAGAGAGAGTGGGAAGGAGGGTGGGAGGGGAAGAGAGAAACATCGATGTGAGAGAGACACATTGATTGGTTGCACACGCCCTGACCGTGGCTGAGGATTGAACCTGCAACCAAGGTATGTACCTTTGACCCAGGAATCAAACCTGTGACCCTTTGGTGTGTGAGCTGATGTTCTAACCATGGAGCACACCAGCCAGGGCTGCAACATGATATTTTGATATACACAGTGAAATGGTTGCTACAGTCAAGCTAATTAACATAGTCATCTCCTCACGTAGTTACCTCTGACTGTGTATTACTAAATGGCATTAACATAAGTGGTAGCTAGGATTGGAAGGTAGGTAAGTCTCACAGAAATAAGTACAAGTAGGCCTGGTTGTTGTGGTCTGTGGGAAGTGGGATTCTTCCTGACATGAGATGTATATAAATAGGTGATACTCTCAGTTTACATTGTGTACAAGTGAAGGGTGTGTAGGGGGAGTGTTACTGATTTTGCATGTTTGAAATGAAACGGGTGAGGGAACCACAGTCTTGAGCTTCTTGGAGGAGCCGTACTCCAAGAGCAGCTTCAGTGCCTGGGGTGTCAGAGTAGAAGACAGTGGGATAGATGGAGAAATGTTTGATGGCACAGCCTGTGGGAGGAGCCTTAGTGGTTGGAGAGAGATGGATGGAGGAAATGGACTCTCTGCCTAAGAAAAATGGTGATGGTTGTTAAGGGAGGAGGCAGAAAACCTTTGACAGAGGAGGTGGTTAGGACCTCAGACTCCTCTAGGAAGTGCATGTCCCCACAGCAGGAGAATCTTACAAGGCCGAAGGTGATGTGGGGAGCTTCTGTAATCACAACTGGGAACTCCCTCCACCCAGAGTCTGACTGAGTCAGTGCATGTGGCAGGGAATGCACCCCTGCCTTGCCTCTGGGAAGAGAAGGCCTCCTTAAAGGCCTGCCAGTAGCTGGTCTTCTGAAGAAGAATGGGAAATTCCTCACAACCTCTTCTTCTGCCAGGATCCATTTGAGGCTGTGATCTGAAGGGCTTGCAGTACTGAGCTGCTCTCGGAACCATAGGTTTGGGGGAGTTTTCTATGTACAGCGGTGCTCGCAGGGACAGATTGAGGATCAGGAGGGGCTGAGTGAAGAAAATTCCACCTCCTTCAAGAGTTACCTCAGCTGCTTTTTCCACGAAGACTCTCCTGCCTATGCTAGACCTCACTGTTTGTGTTCTCCGCCTTCTCACAGACCTTACAATTTAGCATTTGGTTATATATTACCTCTTATTGAAAATATTTATGGGAGTGTGTTTTTTTCCTATCACTTCCTTAGGTATAGGGACTAAGATCTGTATTTTCCATTGAGTTCTCACAGTGCTTACAAAAATGCCGAGCACATAGTAGGGGTTCAGTAATAACCTGCTTGGTAAGAGATATGGATTTGAACATTCCTGTGACTTGTCCTTTCCCACTAGATTCAGTCCACAAGCACCAAAGCGTGCCTAATATGTGCTTGGCACTGCAACAGAAAACAATACAGGTTATTCAGTGCACTGCCTTCCAGGGGGTGTTTGGAAATGGGGAGGGAGGTTTAATTGTCACATGTCTTGGAAGCACTAACAGCATTTAATATTTGGGGATCAGAGATGTTGAACACCCTACAATGTATGGACAGCACATTGAAAAATTGTGGGGTTTTTCACCTAAATTTCCAGTATTGCCTCTTGTAAACTTGTTATAAACGAGGGAAAGGTTAGGTGGAGCACTAGACAGCTTTCTTTCATGAAATTGGAAAGTAGTTCCTAGGTGACCTTTTGCTTCTTTTGGGGTGGGGAGAGGA